TTCCACGTCCTCTTCTGAATCCAGCTTGTACCTCTGGAAGTTCTCTGTCAATGTATGCTTGCAGCTGTTTCTGTATTACCTTTAGTTAAACTTTACTCACATGGGATATCACAGATATTGTCTGATAATTTCCACATTCCGTTGGGTCACCTCCTTTTGGAATGGGCACAAATATGCATCTCTTTTAATCAGTCAGTCAGATAACTGTCTTCCAGATTTCTTGGCAGAGATGAGTAAGTACCTCCATTGCCGTCTCACTTTCTTGAAAAATTTCTATTTTTATTCCATCAATCCTGGAGCCTTGTTCTTTGCCAAGTCCTTCAATGTACCTTGGACTTCCTCCTTCAGAATCATTGGCTCTTGATCATATGGTACCTCTTTAAAGAGGTGAACATCGACATTTCCTTTTGGTACAGTGACTTTGTGTATTCCTTCCATCTTCTTTTGATGCTTTCTGCATCATTCAATAATTTTCCCAGAGAATTAATTTGCCCAGATAATACTTCAGCAATGAAATTTGAGGCTCGAATTTTTCTTCAGTTCCCCCAGCTTGAGAAATGCTGAGCGTGTTCTTCCTTTTTCGTTTTCTGACTTCAGATCTGCACATTTTGTTGTAATAATTGACTTTGTCTTCTCGAGCTGACCTTTGAAATTTTCTGTTCAGCTCTTGTACCTCCTCATTTCTTCCATTAGCTTTAGCATCTCTATGCTGGACAGCAAGTTGCAGTGTCTCTTTTGACATCCATTTTGATCTTTTTCTTCTTTCTTATTTCTTAATGACTTTTTGCTTTCTTTATGTATGATGTTCTTGATGCCATCCCACAACTCTTCTGGTCTTTGGTCTTTAGTGTTTAATGTATCAAATCTTTTCTTCAGATGCTCTCTAAATTCAGGTGGGATATATTCAAGGTCATATTTTGGCTCTCACAGACTAGTTTCTCTTTAATACCCTAGGTCATACGTTTTAGTAGGGCAGAAACAGGGATAATCTCGTTACCGTAGATTCCCAGGATTGACACAAAGCTTGGTACATGGTAGGGACTTGATAAAATTTTGACTAAAACTAAAATGAATAACTCCATTTTAATGGCTACAGAGGTTCATTTCTTTCTACTTCTCTTCTGACTTTTGCTTCTTCTATTAATGAACTCCCTGAGACATGAAGTATTTAAATTGTAAACAGTATCCACAACTAAAGAATAAATGAGATTTCTAGACCCTGACTTCCAAGAGATGGAAGTAAACGCTCAAAATTTTAATAAAAACAATTTTAGGAACATAAATTTAAAATTATAGGTGGGTAAAACAGATAGTATAATGTAAATTACTACTAATATCTTTAGGAGTCGCAAAGTAAAATAGTAATAGCCATCCGCAAGACAGCAATAGAATATGGTTTCTTTACATTTTAATCTTTTTGTGGGTTTTTGTTTTGTTTTGTTTTGTTTTGCCACATTCCACTCACCTTCTGTAGCAAACTGTTCTAAATGTTTTAGGGTAATTTCTTTGTATTTGGATGTCTCAGCCAGTCGATCATAAATCACAGTGTCCTGGAAAATAAGCAGAAGGTCAAATGCACTTGATGAAGTGCAGTTTAAGGAAGTTGATATTACCAACATTATTAGCAACAACAACAAAAAATCTATAAAAAGACAGCCAATCACTTTTAGCAATGGTGTTAAAGCAGAAAGTATTTTCCAATAATAAAGAGAATATGATTCTAATCCTGTATTTCCCACTTCCTTTGTATTTCCCACTTCCTTTTTTTCGGAAGAAAGCCCTAGTTAATCCAGTATTTAAAGTCTCAAATTTTAGCAACACCACACTAAAGTCCTTCATCCCTTAAGGCTTTGCAGAGCATGGCAGCCTGTTCCTAAGTGCTAGAAGGAAGATAGCTGCAACTATTAAGTAACCTTCTGAAATGTTGGACTGAACAAAGCTAGAGGGTATGTATTCCTTGCTGTGAAATTTCTTTTGTTATTGTTGTTTATAGGTGCCATTGAGTCACTGCCCACTCATAATGCCCCTAGGCAGAACAGAATGAAACAATGCTTAGTCCTCAAATAGCCTCATAGTTGTTACATTTGAGTCCCTGCCACTGAGTAAATCCATCCCCTTTGGGGTCTCTCTTTTTGTAGCTGACCCTCCACTTCACCAAGCATAATGTCCTTTTCCCTCAACTTGTCCCTCCCAATAACAAGTCTGAAGAATGAGAGACCAAGTCTTGCTATCCTGGCTCCTAAGGAGCATTCTGGCTGTTACTTTTTACAAAACAGATTTGTTTGTTATTCTGGCAGTCCATGGTAATTTTAACATTCTTCTACAAAACCGTAATTCAAATGCCATCAATTCTTGTATGGTCTTCCTTTTTTACTGTCCAAGTTTCATATAGGTATGAGGCAATTGAAAAAACCATGACTTGGGGCTGGTGCACAATAGTCCTCAAACTAGTATTTTTGTATTAACACTTTAAAGAGGTCTTGATGTGATACAATGTTTGAATTCTTGACTACTGCTTCTATGAGTGTTTATTGTGGATCACAGTAAAATGAAGTTTTTGACAAATCTAATTCTTTCTCCGCGGGAGAAAGATGAGGCTTTCTACTCCCGTAAAGATTTACACCCTCGGAAACCCTATACAGGGTCGCTATGGGTCGGAACCGACTCGATGGCACATAACAACAACAACAACAATTCTTTCTCCACTTATCATGATATTATTGTCTAGTGGTAAGGATTTTTGTTTTCTTTATATTGACATGCAACCCATACTGAAGGCTGTATTCATCAGTTAATATTTTAAGTCCTCTTCCCTTCCTGGAAGCTAGGTTGTATCATCTGAATATCACAGGTTGCTAATGAGTTTTCCTCTAATCCTGATGTCAGGTTCTCTTTTTGTATCTTCTTGGATTATATGCTCAGCATACAGCGTTGTGAAAGGATACAATTCTGGTGCACACCTTTCCTGATTTTAAACCCTGTTTTTTTCTAACAACTGCCTGTTGATCTATGTACAGATTCCTCACAGGCAAAATTAAACACATGAGAAACTTCATTCTTAGCAATGTTATCCATCGTTTGTCATGGCTCATACAACCAAAGTCTGCATAAAAAAAAAGCAAAAGGAATCATCTTTCTGTTATCTTCCGCTTTCAGCAAAGCTCCATCTGATGTCAGCAATGATATGCCTCATTCCACATCCTCTTCTGAATCTGGCTTGAACTTCTGGTAGTTCCCTGTTGATGTACTGTTGCAATAGTTTTTTTAAATTATCTTAAGAAATTTTACTTGCATGCGATGTTACTGATATTATCTGATAATTTCTGCATTCCATTGGGTCACCACTCTTTGGAATGGGCACAAATGTGAATCTCTTCCAATTCTTGGCACAGATGACTGATTGTTTCCAGTGATGCATGTTTGCTGAAAGATTTCGCTTTGTATTCCTTCAATTTCTGGAAACTTTCCAATTCAATGCAGCTTGGACTTGCTTCATCAGAGCCATTGATTGTTTATCATATTCTACCTCTTGCAATGGTTGAACATACACCAATTTCCTTTTTGTACAGCATTTCTTTGTATTCCTTTCATCTTTTGATGCCTTTTGTATCATTAAATGTTTTGCCCATAGAATCTTTCCATGTTTCAAGTTGATGCTTAAATCTTGTCTTCAGTTCTTTTAACTTAAGAAATATTAAGCGTATTCTACCCTTTTGGTTTTCTAACTCCAGGTCTTTGCACATTTTATTATAACACTTGAGTTGTCTTCTTAAGCTGCCCTTTGAAATTCTGTGTTGAGCTCTTTTACTACCTTATTTATTACTTTAGCTTCGTTACGGTCAAGACAAATTTCAGAGTCCCTCCAACATCCATTTTGCTCTTTTCTTTCTTTTTAATGACTTTTTGCATTCATCCTGTATGATGTTATTTTATGTCATCTCACAACTCTCTGGTCTTTAGTCATTTGTGTCTAACCCATCATATCTGATCTTGAGATGATTTCTAAAATTCAGGAGGGTTATATGCAAAGTCATATTTGGTTCTAGTGAACGTGTTTTAATTTTCTTCGGCTTCAGTCTAAAGTTGCATATGAGCAATTCCATAGTCTGCCCCTGGACTTGTTTTGTCTTATACTGAACTTTCCACTGTCTCTTCCCCAGATGCAGTGAAATTGATTCCTGTGTGTAAGGTCTGTGTGTAAAAAAGTAGGTGCAGTGACAAAAGTCATTAATCTTGCAAAATTCTATCATGTATCCAGTATCATTTCTATCAGCAGGCCATGATTTCCAACTATTGTTCCTTCCTCTTTGTTTCCAACCTTTGCATTCCATTAAACAGAAATTATCAATGCATCTTTATTGCTTATTTGATCAATTTCAGGCAAAAAGTTTGTCAGAATTCTTCAATTTCACCACCACTAACTTTCATGGTTAAGGAGCTCTGGTAGCGTAGTGGTTACGAATCGGGCTGCGAACCTTAAGGTCAGCGGTTCGAAACTACCAGCCGCTCCGCGGGAGAAAGAT